CCCCCCCCCACTACAAGGTGTTTCCCACGTTTAAGAGCTTTCGAAGGCTCCCCCCCCCATCCTCACTCGGAAAAACAGCCAGCATGCTTCCTAGCACCCACGTGGCCCCACTGCTCTCCGCTTCACTCCCTCCGGCTACACCAGCCACCTCGCTGCCTCTTGCCAGGACCCTACCTGCCTGCCGCGAGAATTGGGTGTCGCTCGGGCTTCACCAGCTCCTGACTTGCCTACCTGAACACAGGGCCCAGTGCGACGCTGCTCCCCTCCCAGACACCACCGGAGGCAGCACACGCGCTGTCTCTAAACGTGGGCATCCCGCTGACCCACAAGGCGAGCAGCCACACACGCTGCAAGCATCCTGAGGGGGAGGCGTGAGATGCTGGCACCTGGCACAGTGCCAGAAACGTGACTCGGTGAGCTCAGAATCAGACCCCAGAAATCAGAAACCTAGCTGTGGGGAAGGGCTCGGAGCTGCTGCGAGATCAGGATTGACACAGGTGAGCTCAGCAGAGTACTTGGCAGCCGGAAGACACAGGTGGGTTTGCTGCTTTGGGGACTATTTTTAGCACTTTTCTCCCCCTTCCACAGACAAGGCCAAACCACTTACCCAAGATCACATGAAACCCAGGTTCTGAACCAAAGCTGCTTCTATACAGAGGCAAGAGGCAAGTCCTCAACCACAGAGGCACAGCACGCGCGCTGCCTCTCGCCGCAGGCCTGGGCCCCCAGAGGCCCCGTTCTCTCTGGGTCAGAATAGGGTGTGGGTGTGCGTGTGTGCCCGCACACGTGTGGGGACAGGGGACGCTCACGAGAGCACGCTCCCACACACCTTTCCACAGCCGGGCACCTCCACGCCGTCCACGGGGCGGGGGATCTCGATGGACTTGACGAGCCCGTACTTGCTGCATTCGTCACGCACGTCCTCCACGATCTCCTCGTACTCCTCGTCGTCCAGCAGCTCCTCGGGCAGGACCATGTTCATGAGGCACAGGACCTCAGTCGGGTGACCACCCATCTGCACCTGGGAGCTCATCAGGCCAGGCACTTGCAAGGTCACGGGGGTCTGGTTGATGGTACTCTGTGGGGCGGCAGGGGTGTCACAGGGCAGCTCCGCCCTCGCCCCCTCCATGCCCACTTCCCCCGAGCCCTCCCCCCAGACGCCATCCCAGGGAAAGACCCTGCTCCGCCCTTGAAGACCCAGGCACCCACTCCCAACACTGGCCAGGAAAGCCAGGGGCAGAGCTTAGGACGGCCCACCCAGCACGCCTCCCGGCCCCTTCCCACCCCCCACCCCCAGATGTCCCCTAGCCAATGGAAGATGACGTGCCGGGGGGCTCACCAGCGTGGCATTCTTGGCTCCCACGCTTGCCCTCTGGACAAGCAGCTTCTTATCCCCCAGCTGCATCCCGTTCAGCCCCGCAATGGCCTGCGTTTGGAGAACGCGGGATGGGGGCACGCAGGAGGTACAGGTCAGAGGCCAGTAGCCTGACACCTCCCCGCCAAGCCCCACTACCCCAGAGCCGGACACTGGTAGGGAAGAGGGCAAGGCCAAGGGGTGAGAGCTTGGCAAGAGCTAGAACCGAGGGAAAGGGGCCCCTACGCCCAGCCCTGCTTCGGGCTGGCCTCCTCCCACCCATCCTGAATAAGGGAGACCTCAGCGTGGATACAGAGCAGGGTGAGGGCAAGAACAGACTCGCCAGCGCAGGGTCCCAGGGCTCACCTGATCTGTGACGTTGATGTCCACGTACTCACAGAAGGCGTAGCCCTTGGAGAGCCCTGTGGCACTGTCCTTGACCAGGTTGAAGGCCTTGAGAGGCCCAAATGATGTCAGCAGCTCTTTTACCTGTGGCAGGCCAAGACGCCATGAGAGTATGGACGAAGGCTGTGACGGGGGAAGGGCGGGAAGAGACGAAGGGTCTACCTGGTCGTCATTCAGGTAGTTGGGTAAGCCCCCGATGAACAGCTTGTGGGCAGAGTCCGGGACCACGGTGGACACAACTCCTAAGGGGAGAAGGGAGCAGACGGACTGTGAGTCCCAGCACCATGTCGTTTCACAGACCCTGGCGGACGTCTGCAGGGAGAGGCCCAGCAGCCCCGGTCAGGCCGCGTCCCTCCCACCCATGCACCAGCCCCAGCCCCGCCTCGGAGGCGCACCGCGGCAGCACTCTTCGGGACACAGAGCGACCCCAGCACAGCAGCACATCGGGGCCCTGGGGTCAAAGACACGAGCTCACACCCCAACCTGCCACCTGCTGCTGCGTCACCTGGGCAGGTTCCCTCGGCTGTCGGCCTGATGGAGAGGCATCGTGGGGATACACAACCTCTCCTTCATCCTCAAGCCTCCACTCAGAGCCCTTCCCCAACCTGCCTCTGCTGAGACCAGGTCTCCCCAGGAAGCCTCCACGACCTTTCCCCGTGGGCCTGTGCCATGCACAGCTACAGGTGTCCCTAGCCGCTCTCTGGCCTCAGTCACAGGTGACCCTCGGAGGAGTCTGCTGTTCGGTGTCCGTGAGGGCTGGGACGTGCCCGGCTCACTCAGCACCCTGGCAAGGCGGGGCCCACATCAGCCAAGCAGGTTTAACGACCACCGTGCGTCCACCCCAGTCCTGCCCTCTCCGCTGAGCTTCTGACTTGGGTGCCTGCCAGGACTCAGCCCAACGTCTCGCACGCTTCCAAAACGTTGTCCTTCAATTCCTGGAGCCTCCCCACAGGGCGTAAGCTACAAAGAGCACCAGGACGCTGGCTGGACACAAAGAGGATAGAAACGTGGACCACCACCCACCCGGCTGGCCGGACCTGGTGCTGACTTTGAGTTCAAGGCCCACTAGACCCCCTACTGCCAGGCGCACCACCTTGCCTTCCTCTGCAATCCGGCACCAGGTGGCCCCGGCTCCACCTCCTCCTGACCTTGGGGAGGAGCAGGCGACATGGGGGATGGGAAAGAGCCTCAGACACTGCCACTGCGCCAGCAGAAGGGCTCCCTCTCCCACCGCCACCCACCAGTCCGGCCCCTCCAGCCCTGCCGCTCCAAACACCAGAGCCCAGCCCCATCGGGGTGGGGCATGCAATCCTCTGAGGCGCGGCCTGGGCAAGGAGAGATGAGCAGAAGCATCTGGGAGCCAGGGCCAAGGACCAAGCACTCCACACCGGGCACCCCTGGCCGAACTCCTTCCAGCTATTCGTTTCACGTTCTCCCACCCCTACCCACAGCACGACAGGAGGAGACTGAGGCCCAGGGAGCAGGTACCACCTGAGGTCACACACTCCAGGACCCCCAACTTCACAGGCAGCTCTCAGGGAGCGAAGGGCTCTGCAAGGGTGCCATCACAGGACACGGGCTGCGGATACAAGACTGCAGAGTGGCAGCGCTGGGGCTGGAACCTGCCCCACCACACACCTCAGGGAAGCACATGGCACCGAGGGCACCAGAGTTGGGATCCCTGGGCTCCAATCTGGGGTACGAGACTGAGTGAGGCTCCTCTGGGCCTCAGTGACCTCATCTGTGGAACGGGGAGAAGCTCGCACCCCGCACCCCGAGCGCGTGGATGAGCACGACGGAGCCACATGAGCACTGGACGCGGGCTGGCGGCCAGGCTCACCACCCCACGAAGGCCAGGCTGCGCCAGCACGAGGGAGCAGCAGGTCGGCGCCTCAGCAACCACAGCCCCTCCGTGCTCACTCGGTCCTGCCAGGGGAGAAGGGCCTGTTCTTCAGGGTCGCACGACCAGGAAACCACGAGATAAATAAGGAACCCAGGCCGGTGTTGATGCCCAAAGTCAAAGCCCCAAGCAGCTCACCTCCTGACGGCATGCTCTGGGCGCCGCCCTGCTTCACACACCTGTTCCCTTCCAGAGGGGCTACCTCTCACCTTCAGCTCTAAAACCTCACCACCCCCCACAAGGCTGCCCTGGACCCCCAGGGACCAAGCAATCCTTTCTCATACCTGCAGCGTCACCTGCCCCTCGGCAGGAGGGCCATGACCGCCCCGTGCACGGCTGTGCCCCTGGCACGCCCGGCACTAGCTTCGTAGGATCCTCCTGGGGGAGTGGAGGAAGCCCCACAGGTAGGGGCCTCCGGAGGCAGAGTCAGATTCGCCCCTGAACTGAGGGGTGAGCCTGATCCAGGACGGGCAGTCAGGGTGAAGCTAAATTCACAAATTCAGCTATGCCTTCCTGCTCCCAGTTTCCATCTCGTCTTTAGGGCCCCACTGCACAGTCAGGCCTGAGGTCAGAGAGCACAGTTGAGGTCTCACCCCTGTAGATGATGTACACTTACAGTTTCAGGTCAGTCCCCTTTTACCAAGATAAGGAAGTTACCTTCCAGGTTCCTACGCTGTTTCTTTTCCAACCAAGCGTATCTGTCAAATTTTATCAAATGCTTTTATCAAATGCTTCTCCCCTTTATCAAACGGGAGATCGAAATATGACCACCCTTATTGCAGAGAACGTTTAACCTGCAGCCACCATCACTTTTCCTGCCATCCCCAGCACCCAAGGAAGGAACAGACTCGCCCAGTCACTGGTGGCTGAACCCCCGGCCTCCCTGGGGAGATAAATCCCACAGAGTAGGTCAGCCTGCGACCGAACACTGTCCCCGCCACTGCGATGCCTCCGGTTCCACAGGACAGAGGTGACAGGTGGGGCAGCACGGGAGACGGCAAGGCAGACTGCGGTCAAGCTGCGCCACCCGGGGTCCCAGCAATCATGCCTCTGAGCACGTCACTGCTCGCTTCCTGCCTCACTCCCCTCCTCAGTGAGAGGGCGCCCCAGCACCTACCACAGGAGTCAAGGGCCACTGCAGCACGAAGGCAACTCAAACCACGCGCCAGTGCGAGTGGCTACGTGCCGACAGATCTTAAAGATCTGGCCCCTAGTTGTCACTTGCCGACCCTGTACTACAGGACAGTCACGATGACGAACACCTGATCCACGGGGCACACTTGGGACTGTGCTGGCCCAGGAAGCAGGAGAAGCAGTGGGCTCCTGTGTAAATAGGAATGAGTTAAAACACAGGGAATTCACTGGAAAGAGACACAAAGGAACGTTCCGTGGCTTGATGTGGGAGGTGGCCCCACAGACATACGTGCAGGTAGAGCGTCAGAAAGTCAGCGACCTCTCGAGATTTTTTATAAGTTAGAGAGATGTGCTGCATTTACCCAAACTGGTACGGCGGAAAACACTGGGGATGACCCAGGGACCCAGCCCTGAGTCCCAATGTGCCACCCTCTCTGGACTCCACATCCCCCATTTCACAATCAGTTTCCAAAAGGTGTCCTTCAGCGTGAAGCCTCAGCCAGCAGAACCCCACGTTCTCAGCCCCCAAGGGTGCGGCTCACTGCCCCCACACCCAGAGCACCCGGTGCTCACCCCGCCTTTGCCTGAGAGCTGGGCCCCCAGCTCGGCTACCGCAGCACTGGCCCCTCCAACCCCACAGCGTTCCCGGCCCCCAACAGGGCCCCTCACAGGCCCAAATCCTCACTTCCACCTGGCAGTCAACCACAGGGGTCAGCAAACAGCCTGCAGGTCAAGTCCAGCCTGCTTCCTGTCTCTGTACAGCCTGCAGGCTTTCTGAAAGGTTGTTTTACAACACGTGAACGTTACACGGCACCCAAACATCAGGTTCCACGGATGTTAAGGCATACGGGACACAACCACACGCACTCGCTTAGGGAGCATGCGTGGCTGCTTTCCTGCTACAACTGCAGGGTAGTTTCAACAGAGACCACGCGGCCTGCAGAGCAAAAACCAGTCACTCTCTGGCCCTTTACAGAAGAAAGTTCTGCCGACCCCAGGTCTGCTACGTTACCTACCGACCTGAGATGGTACTAAACACGGCTGCGGAGGCTGGCCCGGAGCACAGGGGTCGACGGAAAATCCACATCAGACCCCGCACCGGGAGCTCTACTGACCACCTGCCCATCCACACAGGCTCACCCATGCTCGTACTGACCCCGCGGTCCAGAGCAGCGGCCTCTCACCGCCCACAGCACGTTCAGTCTGGTCTGGCTCCGCCACTTACGAGGTACGAGTCCTCAGGCAGACCACAGCTCACCCTCTCCGGGTGCTGGGCGTCACCTCTGCAAACAGGGAGCCGCCCAACTCCCTAAACTTCGAGGGCCGATGAGACGACGCACCCCCGCTGAAGCACTCCAGCTTCTTCCCCGCTAGCTCCAGCTGGCCCAGAGGGTGAGGTGGGCGAGATCCCCACTCACCAGGCACATAGACGGAGGGGTTCTCTGACATGCCAGGCAGGGGCTGGTAGTCGTGAGGCCTGCGGATCTTCAGCGACTGGCCCTGGAAGATGATGCCATCAAAGGCCATGGCCTGCGTGGTCTCGTCCACTGAGCGGAACTGAAGGAAAGAAAAGGAGGCGGCGAGGGACAGAGTGAGTGGCGAGCCAGCCCCCCAACCCCCGAGGGCTCTGGGACAGCAACCTGGTAGAGAACGGACTGCAGAAGAGCCCAGCGGGAACAAGGGCTGCTGCAGACGGGCTGGACCTGACCCCACCACGCGCCCGGCTCACCTCTAAGAAGGCAAAGTTCTTGTCCTGGTTAATCTGCACCGCCAAGACGGGATTGCCGGGGGCCTGCGTCAGCCCCCCCAGGCGCATCTGGGCGTTGAAGAAATCCATCATGGCCTCCTGCAGAGGGAAGAGGAGACAGGGGGGGGGCGGGGGAAGGGAGGGGGAGGGAGGAGGGG